CACATCTCCTGCATTGGCAGGTGGCTTCTTTACCACTGGGTCACAAGGGCGGTGGTTAAAAAGGCCGATCTGTGGGCCCCGTTCCCCAGAGATTCTTGTTCAGTGATTCTGGGCAGTGCTGGGAATCTGCGTTTCAGAGGCTCCCAGGAAGACGATGAAGGGATCTGCAGACCCATGAGAAAGGCAGCCTTGGACCATGTCGGTCACGCCTCCGCTCACCCGGGGCTTCAGGGTCCTCAGAGTCCTGCAGGAAGGTGGGGACCCGGCCAGGATGCCAGCCAGATGTGGCTCTGTTCTGAGCAGTTGGCTGGACCTCGGTGGCTTAATGAGCTCAGCATTCTGATCTTGTTTCATCTAGCCTCAGGGCTGCCAGGGCCCTGTAACACCCTTCCTGGGACCAAAATCTCCTTCCTTGAGTGCCCACAGGATGGTACAACTAGAAATCTGACCAGCCGTGAATTTCCCTTCTTAAAACACAAACACAGATCCAGAAGCAGACTTACAGAGGTGACAGCCAGCAGGAATCCCGCTTTCGCTTTGCTGTGTCTGGTTTATAGCCCGAGAATAAAGGAGCGGTGAGCTGAGCCACCTGGGTGGGAAATGATGTCTCCTGAGCTGGGTGCCCCCTCACATTCCTGTTCTCTGCTGGGGCTTCCCGAGCAGGCGAGGGCTGAGGGCCCTGTGGGTCCTCCCTGACTTCTGGCCGGGGTGAACGTGAGGCCCAGAGAGGTGGTGCAGTCTTCCTGGGGTCACCCAGCAGTCTGGAGCCTGAACCCAATTTGCACATCCTCCCCTCCCTCAGAGAACTTTGCTGCCCATTTGGTGGCTTGAGGGGGAACGGCGGTTTTCAAGCGGGGGTGATTTTGCTCCCCAGGGGACATGGGGCAATGTCACCGGGGAGGAGGCAGTGCCGTGGCCTCCAGTGCCAGAGGGCTGCTGCCAACCATCCTACAAGGCCCGGGACAATTCCCGCTCCAAATGGTCCAGCCCAAAGCGTCACTAGCGCCAAGACTGCAAAACCCTGAGCCATCCAGAGGCCAGAAAGACGCGGGTAGAACTGCTCAGCTGCTCAAAGCCCCACAGCTTAGCGCTGCTCAGCAGGAAGAAGTCCCTACACACTTTGCTCCTGGTATTTCTCACCTGGGAGATGCTGGGGAGGAGCCTGGTCCCTTCTGTGGCCCCATCTACGGATGACAACCCCCTCCCCTGAGTCTGAGGCCCCCGTAGCTCCCCAGTGGATCTTGGGTTCCCTGGCCCAAATCTAGAACTGTGCAAAGATCACATCTGACTTTGACTCAAGAATAGGTCTGGGTGTGGGGTGGTGAGGGCAGGGAGAAGGCAAGCCGGGGCCTCTGTGGAGTCAGGGAGCCTGGATCAGCGGAGACAAGGCCCTGCCCCAGCCGCGCCTCCCACCCCACCCCCTGCCAGTGTGGCAGGGGCGGGGCGGGGGGGGGGGAGCTGTGCATCTTGTGTGGTCAACATCCCCCTTGAAACCTTCCAGAGCAGGTATCCAGCTTGCTACAGGTTGAACATAGACACTTAAGACTCAGGGATTTTGTGAAAGGACACTCCCAGGCTGGGCCGGCCACCTCCGGGCTGAGGGATGGCACTGCCTTGGGGCAGGAGAGTGGGGGAGTGATGTATCCATTTCCAAGGCTGCTGGACCGAAATACCACTGAGTTGTTCAGTCATTTAGCCGTGTCCAACTCTTTGCGACCCCATGGACTGCAGCACGCCAGGCCTCCCTGTCCATCACCAGCTCCTGGAGTTCCCTCAAACTCATGTCCATTGAGTCGGTGATGCCATCCAGCCATCTCATCCTCTGCCGTCCCCTTCTCCCCCTGCCTTCAATCTTTCCCAGCATCAGCGTCTTTTTTAAGGAGTTAGCTCTTTGTATCAGGTGGGCAAACTATTGGAGTTTCAACTTCAGCATCAGTCCTTCCAATGAATATTCAGAACTGATTTCCTTTCAGGTGGACTGGTTGGATCTCCTTCCCTCCACATGTGTCTGTGTCCTAATAGCCCCCTTTTATAAGGACACCACCACCTTATAAAAGGACCACATCCTCACTCAACTGATTACATCTGCAACAACTTTATTTCCAAATAAGGTCACATTGGGAGGGACTGGGGAGTTGGACTTCAACATTTAAATCTGGTCGGGGCGGGGGCACAGCTCAACCAAACAGAGGAGCATCCCCCCAGCCAAGCCGCTGCTGGTCCAGAGGCGGGGACGGGAGGCCTGGGTTCTTGAACCCAGCAGCTTTGAATCCAGCGAGCTCTGTACTTGGCAGTGTGGCCTTGGGTACCAATCTGACTCCTCATTACAATCCTGCGATAATGAGGGCCTGCTCTAAGTTGTCGGAGAAAAGGAGAAAGTGTGCAAAGCATTTAGCACTGCACATGGCCCCAGTGCAGCTTTATTTAGAACGCATTCCCTGGGGGCTTCCCTGGTGGTCTAGTGATTAGGGCTCTTGTGTTTCCACTGCAGAGGGGCATGGGTTCAATCCCTGGTAGGGGAAGTTCCAGATGCCACGAGGTGTGGCCAGAAAACAGAAAACGTTCCCTGGGCCGATGCCCGGTGCCAGTCTGGGTGACTCTTAGGTTGTACAGGAGCGGCTTTGCGGGTCAACATGTGCTCACAGAGGGGCCCCCACGTCTCCTTCTGTGGCCATCTTGGGTCTGTGCTAGCGGGATTCCTGGCAGTGAGAAGAGGAAAGAAAGTTCCTGAGCTCTCGTCCCAACCCTGCCTTTCTCACGAGAGCTGCTGGTGATTCTGAGCTGAGGCCACCGGCCCACAGCCTGCCTCTCACATCACGGTCTTGCTGGTGATGTCCCCTTGTTTGCTTTCCCACCTCCCGTTCCTCCGCCAGTTCTTACTCGTCCTTTAAGACCTGGTGCTGGGACTTCCCTGGTGGTCCAGTGGTTAAGACTCTGCACTTCCAGTGCAGGGGGCAGAGGTTCGACCCCTGGTTGGGGGACTGAGATCCTGCTTGCTTCGTGGCATGCCAGAAATTTTTAAAAGATAAAGTAGATACGCAACAAGGACTTCCTGGTGGCTCAGTCAGTAAAGAATCTGCCTGCAATGCTGGAGACCCGAGTTCGATCCCTGGGTTGGGAAGATTCCCTGAAGAAGGGAATGGTAACCCACTCCAGTGTCCTTGCCTGGAGAATCCCATGGACAGAGGAGCCTGGTGGGCTCTAGTCCATGGGGTCACAAGAGTCGAACACAACTTAGCAACTAAACCACCAAGCACCAGGGATTTACTGTATATTAGCATAGGGAACTATATTAAATATCTTATTTAAAAACAAAACAACACAGTGCTGGTAACTCCTCTTCCAGGAAGCCCCCCTGTAGTGGAAAAGCTGGATCATGTGCCCCTTCTCTGCACTCTGCTTGCCTCCGGGAGCCCAGCGCTTGTTATTAAAATGGTCTGTTCCCCACTGTACTCCCGAATGTCAGGCAGGAAATCACATATCTCTCTGACCCGGGGGTATCACTTAATGCCTGGGTTACGTGCAAGGTGCTCAGCAAGTGTGGTCACTCGGCCTGAGCTCCCCGTGCTGCCTCGGGGGCAGCCCCGAGCACCAGCCCTCACCCCAGCCCTCCGCAGCTCAGCTCCGGTTCACCTGGCCGAGGGGCACAAGGGCTCCATTGTGTGCCCGAGTGGACAGGGAAGGGGGTGACGATGCTCTGGAGAGTGGGGTGCGGGCTAGGGTCCAGACAGATGGAGCCCCAGACAAAGCCCTCTTTTAAGAGGGGCTCATAGCAGCCGTGCTGACAATGTCCTGATTCAGGAGGCTGGATGTCAAAGGAACCAAGGGCCCACGGTGCCCATGAACTTGGCGGTGTCCAGAGGTCATCTGAAGGTGATCAGTGGGTGATGGGCATTGCTGCAGGCTGCTCACCCTCCCCTGCACTGAAGGCCTCAGAGGGTGCCCCTCGGGCTGCTGGCGCTACCGCTGTGCCTAGGAGCTCTGACACCAAGGGTGAGGGTCGTGCAGCTGGTCAGGTTCCCTTGCATCCCTCTGGGGCCCACACCCGCGGACTTGTGGGCGGGTATTTCTTCATTTGGGTCTGACACTTGATGAGGGCTCCTGCTGCTGGCATTAGGCCCCGAGCCAGGAACTGGATCCTGGGAGAGGCTTACACGGCCCTGGGGCTGAAGCCCGGAGGAGGTGGCCGGAGACAGGTGTGCTCCCCAGGTACACTGCAGGCCCCAGCGCCCTGCACTCAGCTCGCTGTGGCCGCCCAGCCTTTAGCGGGCTGTGAGGGGGCCCGGCGCAGTGGCCTCCTCCTTTCCATGCACAGAGCCCCAGCCCAGCCTGTCTGGGGCGTCCCCTCTCGTGGTTCCCCTGGAATCCGACCTGACTGGTTAAGACCTCTGCGTGAGGGTCCCGGGCTCCGGCCTCCTAGGAAGCTGTCTTACCTCTTCCTTCCTCCCTGCACTGAAGATCTCAGAGGAGGGCCCTGCTGGGACCTGGGAGCAGGGAGTGGTCTTAGACCAGTTTAGGTGCAGTGAGCACCGGTGTCTACCTACTGGGAGGAGCCTGGTGGGCCCAAAGCTGCGGTCCTCCCAGCACTGGGGCCTCCTGCATCCTGGTGCTGGACGGGAGTGCACCCAGCGGGACCCCCATACATCTCCTGGGTCCAGGGTGCTGGACCGGGCTCCCAAGCCAGCCTCCTCTGTCTGCTCCCGCAGTGGCCACCCTCACGCCGTGTCTCCTCTCAAGCTCTCTTTGGGCCGTCACTAGCCCTGACTTCCCTGCTGACCCCAGAAGGGAGCTCTGAGACCTTGGGGTGGTCCCAGGGCAGCCCGTCCGCTCAGCGTCTTGTCCTCTGTTGGGACTCGGTTGACCTTGACCCCGGCGCTCCCGGACGCCCCTCCCGCTCCTTCCCATGTCCTGAGTGGGGGTGAGGTCAGTGGTCAGTGTGGACATTGGGGTGGGCCTGGGGCTCCGGGGTGACTGCTGGCCTCCCCTCGGGACCTTTGCAGATGGTGGTTCTTATGGATCCAATGGAGGATCCTGATGACATCCTACGGGCACACCGCTCCCGGGAGAAGTCCTACATGTTCGACGTGGCCTTTGACTTCACTGCCACCCAGGTGAGGGGGCGCCTGGACCTGGGGACACACAGGATCCCTCCTCTGCCCTCTGACCGACCTGGGAGGGAGCCCTTAGGGGACCCCGGGACCGAGCCCCAGGCGTCCCTCCATCACTCACTGTCTCCCTGCTGCATCCCCACGTGCACACACGTGCGTGTGCCTGCATAGTGCGTACAGAGCCTTCTGCGTGGACACCCTGCGGTCAGCACACAAATGCCACTCTCCACGGGGACCCACACAGCGCTTCCCCACAGGTGGCCCCAGGGGGGCCCCAGGAAGGTGCCTGAAGCCCTTCTGGTGCTGGGAGGGGCGCCTCGGGGAAGCTGACACCCTCTCAGGGACCCCCATCTCATCCATCTGCGGATGCTCCAAGGAGCAGGTGTGAGGCGTCCTCTGGGCTGGGGGCCGGGAGCCAGCTGTTGGTGGGGAGGGTATCAGGTGTCCTGAGCACTCTTGCAGGCTGGCATTCCCTCCCCACCCGCCGTGGGGGCAAAGCAGAGACATCCATCCCCCCTCCCCACCCCCACTTCTCTGGGCCCGAGTGCTCCAGGGAAGAAACTGCCTCTGTTGGGGGTCAGGGTGAGCCCGTGTGCTCTGCCCTGGCTGTGCCCAGGGTCCTAATGGGTCTCCTCTTCCCTGCAGGAGATGGTGTATCAGGCCACCACCAAGAGCCTCATCGAAGGTGTCATCTCAGGCTACAATGCCACCGTCTTTGCCTATGGCCCCACAGGTGAGGGCGAGTGCCCCCAAGGGTCAAGCCCCTCACCCTCCACCTTGGTGCTTGTCTGGCCCAGGCCGGAGCAGGAATCAAGGACGTGGCAGATTGAAACTGCCCCCTCCCAGAGCCCTTTGGACCCAGAGCCCCACCCCCAGCCAAGGATGCCATCTTCACCCCCTCCCCCCACTCCCGGCCACCTGGGAGGCTCCAGCCTTGAGGACAGACCCAGGTTTGCCAGGGGCCCCCGCGCTCCCGGTCCCCGTCCTGCTCGCCCACCACCCCCTGCTCGGCCCCAGGCTGCGGGAAGACCCACACCATGCTGGGCACAGACCACGAGCCCGGCATCTACGTCCGGACCCTCAACGACCTCTTCCGAGCCATCGAGGAGACCAGCGACGACATGGAATACGAGGTGTCCATGTCCTACTTGGAGGTGAGCCCTCGGTGCACCCCATCCTGTGGGCGTGGGCCAGGAGGTCCACGGGACCGGGCTGGTTTACCGCCCTGGGGTCAGGTTAGGGGGCAGTCTCCTGGGGGCGCTCATCACTGCTGCTCGCCCATGTGCCTGTGGTCGGCTTCACCTTATAAACACTTGGAGAGGCTCAGAGAGGTCAGGCAACTAGACAGAGGTCGCACAGTAAGTGAGGGAACAGGAATTCAGACTCAGGACCCTGCGGCTTTAAAGCCGAGCCCTGCCCACTTGCCTACTCCAAAGTAACCAGGTCACTGAGCACAGACCTCAGCCACCCTCCCAGAGGCCATCCTCTGGACCCACTCCTGGGCTTCCCCGGTGGCTCAGATGGTAAAGAATCTGCCTGCAGTGCAGGAGACCCAGGTTCGACCCCAGGGTTGGGAAGATCCCCTGGAGAAGGAAATGGCAACCCACTCTAGTATTCTTGCCTGGAGAATCCCACGGACAGAGTACAGTCCATGGGGTCCCAGAGTCAGACACGACTGAGCCGACCCTGTTTGCTTTGCCAGGCCACCTGCAGGCACTCTGTGTGTGTAGGTGCAGGTAAGAATGTTACATACACGGACAGGCTTAGACCTGCCCCCCTTCTCCACCTTCACACAGCCCCCGATGCCCACCTGTGGGAGTGCTACCACTGGGCAACAGCAGATCGCAGGGGTGGGAGCCCACAGAGGCCAGAAGCGGCGGGAGAGCCACTGGGCTAGGCTCCGTCTGGCTCCTGGCCTCCCCAGCTCCCTCTGGAAGCTGATAATCTCCTGGGCGACAGTTCGGGAGGGGCAGCGAGGCATTGCTGCCAGCACCTGCTCCAGCCAGCGTGGTGTTGACTTAGCCAGCAAGATGCACTTTGGGGGCCGCGGCTGGGGAGGCTGGCTGAAGGTACCATAAGGGTTGCCTAGCAACCGCCAGGGCTTGGCCATGGGTTAGGTCCCATCCTCTGCCTGGTGCCCAGCTGGCCTGCAGAGGGAGGGTACCTTCTGTACTGTTGGCTCTGGCAGCCCAGTGTTTCCCGCCTGGATGCTGAAGCCCCCTTACGCCCACCCCATAGGAAGGAAGGGGTCCGTCTCCTTAACCCGGGGTTTCTCTGAGAGGAGCCTGGAGCTCTCAGGAGGGATGGAGAGCCGGGCTGTTGCCTGGACCTCCTGCTCTTGGTCTCCCATTAACGTCTGTCCCCTGCCCCTCCCGACCGGGTCCCATCAGATCTACAATGAGATGATCCGGGACCTGCTGAACCCTGCCCTGGGGTACCTGGAGCTGAGGGAAGACTCCAAGGGGGTCATCCAGGTGGCGGGAATCACCGAGGTCTCCACCATCAACGCCAAAGAGGCGAGTCTCATGCAGCCAGTCGGGCAGTGGAGAAGGACACTAACTCGCGCGTGTGTGTGTTTGGGGGATGCCCAGAGGCGGCAGGGCTCTGCAACCAGGGAGCTGCTGCGGCTAAGCTGGGCCGGAGCTGGGGCAGACACCGAGGACCCTGGACGACAGGCCCCCGGCCACGCCGACCCTGGGGACCGGCCAGGCATCCCGCCTCCCAGTTGACAGACAGGCCCTGACCTCTCGGCCCCCACAGCACACGGCGGGTTGACCCAGCCCTGCCTTGGGCCCCTTCCCAACCTCGCAGAGGCAGGACTGGGGAGCGTCCCCATGGGCCCCCAGGAGTGGCCTCCCTGCTCTGCCCCACCCACCCAGATCATGCAGCTGCTGATGAGGGGGAACCGGCAGAGGACCCAGGAGCCCACGGCCGCCAACCAGACGTCCTCGCGCTCCCACGCTGTGCTCCAGGTGGCCGTGCGCCAGCGCAGCCGGGCCAGGGACGTCCTGCAGGAGGTGCGGCAGGGCCGCCTCTTCATGATCGACCTGGCTGGCTCTGAGCGGGCCTCCCAGGTGAGGCCGGCTCCCCTGGGGCTGGGGGCAGAGCTTGCGGGGTGGCGGGCAGGGAGCCTGGCCCACCCTGCTCCCCGAGGGGTGGAGTGGGGACTGTTTCAGGGAGGATGGGGATGGGGGGTGCTCTGGAGGGGAGGACACTGAGGGATGTCACAGAAAGGATGGGTTGGGCTGGGGGACCCCAGGGAGACCCCTCCCCAAGGGGCTGTTTGTGGGAAGGGGCCTGGGAGTGTGAGGGTCTCTCCAGGGAAGGAGACTGCGTGTCCCGGAGGACGTGGGGAAACAGCCAGGAGAATGAATGGGCCCGGTGAGGAGCTGGGGCCCCGGGGAGACGATGTCTGGGGTGGGGGACCCTGGGCAGAGCCCGGGAGGGGACCCTGCCCACCACATCAGGGAGAGAAAAGGGCCCGCCACCCACTTCTCAGTGTTCATCTCTCCCCCGACAGCCATTTGCCCGGCCCTGCCACCCAGGCCTGGGCCCAGGCCCCCTCTTGTGGGCAAATTCAGAAGTTTCGTGGTTGCCTGAATCCATGGGCATCTCACCATTAGCATTGAGGCAAACTCAAGCACCAGGGAGAAGTAACAAGGGCCTTGTGTTTGAACATGTGGGGTTGGTTTTAACAGGGTGGAGTAGGAGAAACCTTCTCTTTCCCTAAAGGCCTGAGGGCTTCCTGGAGGAAGGGGGTGGGGAGCAGCCAGCAGGGAGAGGGTGTGCCCCGCAGCCACCAGGCTGGGCAGAGACATCTCCCGAGGGCAGCTGTGGGCAGGGCCTCCTGGGACTTGGCCCTGTCCTAATCTCACATCCATTCACACACACCTTCATGCGTTCCCTAGCGCACAGGCTTCCTTTTTTTTTTTTAATATTTACTAATTATATATGTGTTGGCTGCTTCGGGTCTTAGTTGTGGCACATGGAATCTTTAGTTGCAGCATTCAAACTCTCAGCTGTGGCATGTGGGACCTGGTGCCCTGACCAGGGATGGAACGCAGGCCCCCTGCATTGGGAGCGTGGAGTCTTAGCCCCTGGACCGCCAGGGGGTTCCTCACACACTTTCTTATACACACATTACATGCTATCACATGTACACATACAATTCACACACACTCACACACCCTTCCCCGCAAACACACAAACTTCCATCTGTCCCCTCTGGAGCCTGCTCTCTCTCTAGAGCTGGGAGCCCACGGCCGTGCCAGCTCCCTGCTGAGCTGCCTGGGAAGTCAAGACCTCCCTCCATCTTGCCCTCGGCCCTGCCCTTAACTGTGCCAGCAGGTCAGTACCCAGGGAGACGAAGAGCCAGGCTCTCAGCATCCTCGGGAGCCTCCTGCCCCCGCTCTTGTCCAGCGTGCATGGTCAGTAGCTTCAGTCGTGTCCAACTCTGTGACCCCACGGAGTGTAGCCCGCCAGGCTCCCCTGTCCATGAGATCCTCCAGGCAAGAGTACTGGAGTGGGTTGCCTTGCCCTCCTCCAGAGGATCTTCTAGACCCAGGGATCGAACTGGCATTTCCTGTGTCTCCTGCATTGCCAGGCAGGTTCTTTACCACTAGCGCCCACCGAGGAAGCCCCACTCTTGTCCAGAGACCTTCTCATTCTCTGACCTTCTGGAATGCCCTCTGTGATCCCTTGAGAGAGGGCAGAGCAGGTCCTCAGCGTCTCTTCCTTGCAGAGCCCTGGGGGAAGGGGAGGGGTTTACAACCCAGGATGGCCTGGGGCGGGGATTCACACCTGCTGCTCACCCCCTCAGACACAGAACCGTGGGCAGCGCATGAAAGAGGGGGCCCACATCAACCGCTCGCTGCTGGCCCTGGGCAACTGCATCAATGCGCTGAGCGACAAGGGCACCAACAAGTACATCAACTATCGTGACAGCAAGCTCACCCGCCTCCTGAAGGTACCAGCTGCCACCAGGCCCGGGCCCTGGGCATCCGGGGTGGGGCTGCCAGCTTTGCAGAGGAAAATACAGGATGCCCAGCTGCATGTGAATAAATAACAGATAAAGAACGAAATCCGGTTTGGGTATCAGTATGTATGTCCCATGCCATCTTTGGGACATACTTATAAAGCTCACTCATTTATCCAAATTTCAGATCTAAACTGGGTGTCCTATATGTTAGAGCTTCCCAGGTGGCTCAGTGGGTTAAAGAAATCTGCCTGCAATGCAGGAGATGCAGGAGACGTGGGTTTGATTTCTGGGTTGGGAAGGTCCCCTGGAGGAGGGCGTGGCAACCCACCACAGTAGTCTTGCCTGGAGAATCCCATGGACAGGGGAGCCAGTCCGCGGGGTCGAGAAGAGTCAGACATGGCTGAAGCAACTGAGCATGCACTCTCAGGCCTCCGTTTGTGAACAGTAGGGAGGAAAAGAGGTTGCATCTGAGCATCTGACCGCCCCCTCCTCACCAGCCCCAAGGCTGTGGGTCTGAGGGAACTGGGAGTCATCTGCATTTGGGGGTTCAGGTGGACTGTCTCGTGGCTCCCAGAGGCTGCTGTTGCCGGGGGGCTGGGGAGGGGGTTCGCATTTCTGGCTGGGCTCCGAATGCAGTGCTTCACCCCGCCACACCCAGTTCCTTTTTGGAGAGGAGGGAGCCATTCTGCATGACTTGTGGGATCTTAAGTTAATTTCCCAACCAGGGATTGACCCCTGGGCCCTCAGCAGTGAAAGCATGGAGTTGTAACTGCTGGATGGCCAGGGCATTCTCTGCAGTTCCTTTCATCGGGTCAGCGTGTCTGAGTTTAGGGGGTCATTATTTCCATTTGCAGACGAGGAAACCGAGGCACTGAGAAGCTAAGTAACTTCCCCAAGGGCTCACGCTAGTAAGGGCTGGACGCAGGGCCCCAGCAGAGGTCTGGCTGGCTGATGGCAGAGCTGAGGTGACCTGACGCTGGGCATCAGCCCGCCAGCATCCCTGCACCCACAGGCTGGGGGTTCGAGAGCCGGCTCCTGCCACCTAGCAGGCCGAGGGAGCTGAGGGTCAGAGAGGCGAAGGGGCGGGTCACTGCCGCGCCCGAGGGCTTTGTCCCCAGGCCACTGTAGCCCCTCTCTCCGTTGGAGAGGGCAGGGCAAGCCCAGGGCAAGGGAGGCGGTGGTCACAGGCCCAGTTCACTCCATCACCAGCCTCGCTCCAGCCAAGACAATGGCGCCTTCCGCCGTCAGCAAAGGGGGCGACCTGGGAGGCCCGAGGAGATGGCGGAGAAGCCCAGGACCCCTCACAGCTCTTGCTGCTCTGGTCCCAGCCAACCAGGGGGCGGCCTTTGCTCATCCTCATGTGTGAAGAGGGGGAGGGGGAGAGCTGGGAGACCCTGACTCAGACGCTGGAAGTTTTCAAACATGAGCTTTGGAGAAGAAACCGGGAGAGGGAAGAAGTGGGGAGACGGCGGAGGGGGTGGGGAGGGTCCAAGGCACCAGCACGTGTGCGAGAGGCATCGCAAGCGGGAGCAGGGTCCAGGGAGGCGGCCGCCTGCTGACCGCCGCCCGCCCCCGCACATCCAGGACTCCCTGGGGGGAAACAGCCGCACCGTGATGATCGCCCACATCAGCCCAGCGAGCAGCGCCTTCGAGGAGTCCCGGAACACCCTGACCTATGCCGGCCGGGCCAAGAACATCAAGACTCGGGTGAGGGGGCCCCTGCTCTGTGCCCCCCGGACTCGCCTTTCTGAGCCAAGACTCAAGCCCCCTGGACTGATTCCAGGTCCTGCCACCCCCCAGCCTCCCCCGAACACACGCGCTGGACCGAGCCACCACCGCTCTGGCCCCTTACTTGCCAGGAAGACCTCAGCTTCTGAGGGCCCCCTTCTGTTTTCTGACTTATTTGGCCATGGTTAGTCACTGTTGTCCTGTGCGGGCTTTCTCTGGTTGTGGTGACTGTGGTGGGTTCTCTTGTTGTGCGATACGGGCTCTGGGGCATGTGGGCACTGTAAGGGCGGCTTACGGGCTTAGTGGCCCTGTGGCATGTGAGATCTTCCCAGACCAGACACCGAACCCGTGTGCCCTGCATTGGCAGGCAGACTCTTAACCATTCGACCACCAGGGAAGTCCCTGTCCTCTTGTTCAAAGTCTGTGCTCATCCCCAAGGTCTGTGCCCCCAGCCCCACCATCCCCTTCCAGCTTCCTGTCTTCATCTTAAAAGACGCTCAGTCAGACGTTCACGCCTCCAAAGGCCCTAACCTTTTTCATCTTAAAAAGACGCTCATTCAGACGTTTACGCCTCCAAAGGCCCTAACCCCAACAGTTACAGTACTGGTGACTGTTACTGGGCACTTTTACTGGGCCCTTTATCAGTTCATCTCATGTGGTCCTCCGACGAGGCGGGCACTATTTCTGTCCTCATTTTACAGTTGAGGAAAGTGAGGCTGAAGGGAGCTAAGTGGCTTCCTGGTTGGGCAGGAATGGTGCTGAGACCAACACTGGGTCCTCCTGGTTTCCAAGGTTTCCTTACCTTTTCTGGTCAGTGTCTTAGAATCTGGCTCTCTATGAGGTCATCTGGGCCCACCTGTGTGAAGAGTGTAAGAACCTAACGAATATTCTAACCCTGCAGCTCCTGAAACATCAGCTGGATGCTTTATCTCTGCTCTCTCCATTAAGGAACTTAACGGTGGGAAGAGACCCTTAAAAGAGCGAATTGACAGTTCAGAATATTATCAATAGCAGGCAATCACGCCAACAGCAGGGAGGCCAGTGGTATCCCACCAACCTCTTTAGAGACGGTGAGAGGGAATCTGAAGGATGAAGAGGAGATTCCAGTAGGGAGGGAGCAGCAAGGACAGAGGCTCCTGAGGCAGGGAGGAGGTGGTGTCCGCGGCGGAGGTGGGAGGAGGAGAATGGTTCCTCCGATGAAGATGGAGCAGTGAGCCAAATGAAACTCTAGAGAGAGCAGTGGGCCTTCAACACCAGATGAAGGAATCAGGGCATTCTTCCAGCAGTAGGGAGCCAACGAAGGTTGAGTCGCGCAGAGGCTGGGGGTGGGGGGTGGGGTGCACAATTTTAGGAGTATGCCTCTGATGGAGGCATGTAGTTTGATAGGTTGTAGGGTCAGAGGCAGGGCTTCCTGGGTAGCTCAAGTGGTAAAGAAGCTGCCCACAATGCGGGAGATCTGGGTTTATTCCCTGGATTGGGAAGATCCCCTGGAGGAGGGCACAGCAACCCACTCCAGTATTCTTGCCTGGAGAATTCCCCTGGACAGAGGAGCCTGGCGGGCTACACCCCATGGGGTCGCAAGGAGTCAGACACGACTGAGCGACGAAGCCCAGCACAGCACAGGGTCGGAGGCGGGGAAGTCGTTACTGTCATCCAGGAGAAAGCGGGGATCCCCGAGGGCAGGCCCTGGCCTCCAGGTGACTGTGCCCCGCCCCTCCCTAGGCGAAGCACCCGAGGGCAGGCCCTGGCCTCCAGGTGACTGTGCCCCGCCCCTCCCTAGGCGAAGCACCCGAGGGCAGGCCCTGGCCTCCAGGTGACTGTGCCCCGCCCCTCCCCAGGCGAAGCAGAACCTGCTCAGTGTCTCCTACCACGTCGCCCAGCACACGAACATCATCGCTGACCTCCGGGGCGAGATCCAGAGGCTCAAGGGCAAGATCGAGGAGCGGGGCGGGCGCAGCCCGGACCGAGCCCAGCTGGGGCGGAGCGACATCCGCCACATCCAGGGTGGGTGCACGGGTCTCCGTGAGCCAGAGCCTGTCTCCTGCAGCCTCTCCAGGCTGCCTCAGGGTGCTCTGCGGTCAGACAGCACTGGCTTCAAAGCCGGATTTGGGCTCTTTCTGGCTGAGTAGCCTTTAAGCCTTCCGTCCTTCGGCTGTCAGACAGAATCGCGCTCTCTGCCTCAGAGACCTGACCCGAGGATTCGGTGGTATCAGAGTGAGAGTCTGGGCGCTAAGCGGTGTGGGGGCTTCACTCTGGGGACTGCAGTGAGGGCTGCGAGGCTGAGCCTGGCATCACCAGAAGGGATACTGTTCCCTGACAGATTTTCTGTACTTGCTTTGATGATTTTCCAGCACGTGGCAGTCAAGTGTCTAAGGGGTGCCTTTTACTACTTGACAGAAAGGTGCTCTAAAGGCTGGCGGAAGCCCAGTTCATACAGGGAGGCTGGGAGTCACCTTTGGGTCACTGCCTGAAGACAGTGTAGATGTGGGAGGGGGGGTAGTCTAGGAGGTCTTCCTGGAGGAGGTGGTTGCACAAGTCTTTCGGGGAGAGAGGGGAGGGCCCAGGCGGACCCAGACTTTCCTGGCCTGACTTCCTCCTCTGCTGACCTCTCCCACCTCCCATTCAACCGGCAGCCGAGGTGCAGCAGCATAGTGGGCAGGGCGAACAGGCTGCGATGGAACACCTTCGTGAGCAGCTGATCAGCACCTTCGAGGAGCAGATGGACATGCGGAGACGCCTGCTGGAGCTGGAGAGCCACGGCATGGAGCTGCAGATGGACACCTCCCGCCACCTGCTCACCATTGCCGGGTAAGCACCGCTGGCCTGGGCCGGGGGCCGGCGGGGGAGCTGGAGCCGCCCCTTGTGCTCCCCGCCCCCACCACCATCCCCATGGCCTGAATCCCCTGTCTCCTGTGGGGTTGGGGCTGCGGCAGCTGGAAGCACGAGAAGTCACGCCGGGCACTCAAGTGGCGGGAGGAGCGTCGGAAGGAATCCTTCACTAAGGATGACCCCGGGAAGGACTTGGACACCGGTGATGGCCAGCCAGACATCGAGGAGCCCGCCGAGGTGGTGTCCGCCCACGAAAGCATCGCTGCCTTGATGACCGAGCAGAAGAAGCTGCGAAAGCAGAAGGTGCCTGGGGCTCGGGGGCTGGGCAAGGGGGGTTGGGAGACTCAGCAGGAAGGGGCTGGGGGAGGTTTGTGGGAGGAGTGAAACCTTGGTGCTCAGACCACAAAGCCCCTGCGACTTTGAGTCTTTCTCATCTGCGGGCTTGCCTGGTGGCTCAGATGGTAAAGAATCCACCTGCAATGCGGGAGACGCCGGTTCAATCCCTTGGTTGGGAAGATCCCCTGGAGTAGGAAATGGCAACCCGCTCCAGTATTCTTGCCTGGAGAATCCCCATGGACGGAGGAGGCTGGCGGGTCACAGAGTCGGACACAACTGGGGGACTAATGTTTGTGTGTGTACTCAGCTGCTCGGCCAGGTCTGACTCTTTGCAGCCCCGTGGACTGCCAGGCTCCTCTGTCCATGGGGATTCTCCAGGCAAGAACTCATCTTTAAAATGGGAGTGGTCAGCCCTAGTGGGGTTGATGGGAAGATTAAATAAATCCTTTCACATATTAAAGACTCAGAAAACTGGTAGCCAACATTCTAATTAGGACTTTCCGGATCTCCCTTCTCTGTTCTGGGGCAGAGCCATACCAGGGGGCTTCAGGGTCCACGAGTCCTGAGGGCATCAGATGGGCTGGGGTTGAGCTGGTCCACGGAGCTCATTTCCCTGGATTCTCTGGTGGCTCAGACGGTAAAGGGTCTGCCTGCCAACGCAGGAGACTGAGGTCCAGTCCCTGGGTCAGGAAGATCCCTTGGAGAAGGAAATGGCAACCCACTCCAGGATTCTTGCCTGGGAATCCCATGGACGAAGGAGCCTGGCAGTCTACGGTCCGTGGGATCGCAAAGAGTTGGGACAGGACTGAGCGACTTCATTGCACAGAGCTTGTTCAAGGGATGGGTTGCAAGTAGGCAGGCACAGAGGGATCAGTGAGGAGCAGTCCCCGCTTGCGGAGTTCGAGACACAGCTTCGAAAAGGGGGCCTCGGAGTGGGGCTTCAGCCTGGCGCCCAGCGTCCGAGGGCTTGGACGGGTGAGGACCCGCTCAGCGGCGGGCGCGGGCGGCCCCTCGCCGGTCACCTGGTGCTGACCGACCGCTCGGCTCCCCAGCTGGCGCTGGAGCAGCGGTGCCGAGAGCTGCGCGCGCGGGGCCGCCGCCTGGAGGAGACGCTGCCGCGGCGTGTCAGCTCGGAGGAGCAGCGCGAGGCGCTCGGCCTGCTCTGCCGCGTGCACGAGCTGGAGCTGGAGAAAGCCGAGATGCAGTCGCACTCCCTGCTCCGCGACGGCGCGCTCCGCCACCGCCGCGAGGCCCTGCGCCGCCTGGAGCAGCGCCGCAGCCTCTGCGAGGAGATCATCCGCGCCCAGCGGCAGCTCATCCAGGGTAGGGCCCCCGCCCCGCGTGTCCGACCCGCAGAGGGCCCGAGAGCGCGCGCTGAGCCCTGCCTCTCCGCTCCCCCACCGCAGACTGCAACCTGGCCGTCCCGCAGCACCTGGAGGAGCTGTATGAAGTGTACCTGAGGGAGCAGGAGGAGGGCAACCTGGAGCGCGCCACCATGATGGACCGCCTGGCCTCTCGGGCCTTGCAGGTGGGCGCCCGGGCGGGACCATGAGCACTTGCGCCAAGGGCGGGGCTGATGTCCAAGGCGGCGCCTGCCAGGAGCTAGGGTGGCCTCGGACCGGGCCAGCTGGTCCCCAGAAAGCTGACTCCTCCTCCTACTTATCCGCCCCAAAGCCTTGCCAAGCTCCCCTCCCGTGGTGTTCTCTGGCACGTGCCCCATCCAGGGTCTGAGGATCAGGGCTGGCAATCTGAGATATCACTAAGGACCCCGGATGCCCTCCCAGGAGACCAGGCCACCAGGCGGTGCCACTGGGAATGCCTAGCAGACCACAGCTGGCCCCTGGGGGCTCAGAACACAAGCCCCCCTGTCTTCTGCGGCTGCCAGCCCAGATTACAGCCCCAGACTGTGTGCCTGTCACCCAGGCTGTTTACTCAGTCCGAGACCAAGTCTTCCGAGTCCCCTCTCCCTCCTTTCCCCTCCCCAGGACAGCGCCTTGCCCAAGATTAGCCCCCCAGGAACCGTGCCGACCCCGGAGGAGTCTGACCTAGAGAACGTCAAGATGCCGAGCTCCGAGTCCCCGCACCAACACAAGAGCTTCCTCCCTCTGCTCAGCACTGAGAGGTGAGCCCGAGGACCACTTCCGGCCCCCCTGAGCCACCAGGCTGTGTCTCAGAGATGCCAGCCCAGACCTGGCTTCCCAGGGAGGATGGAGCAGGAACGGAAAGAGGGGAGGGGGCACAGGTCTGGAGCCAGGATTTTGGGGTCCTTGTTCCCACAATGCAGCAGTTCTCAGGAGGGGTAGGGGTGGGACCCTGTGGTACCAGCCTGGTCAACAGCTGCCCATCCTCCTCTGCTGACCTCAGTGAAGCCAACCACGTGTTCAAGGCCAGCTCCCGGGCTTGGCAAGCGAAGGGCTCCTCTGTGCCCACCCCACCCCCTATCCCGGCCGGCAACCTGGTGACACAGGAGGTGAGCAGTGGGCCCCATGGGCCCCCGGGCTCCCCTGATGTGGGTGGGAGTACGGGGCGGGGGGGACACCCAGTGGTTGGGATGCAACTTTTCCAAAACAGCCCTCTGAGGACATAGGGCCCCTGCTGGGTCCAATGGCTTCTCTTCCCAATCCATTCATCTCACAGGCCGCCACTCAGGTTAGTCTGAACGGCCAGATCAACTCCTCCCCTGAAAGCATCGAGAATGTGTCGGAGATCCCCTTGTCCCGCAAAGGTGTGTCCCCTGCCTCCCCCCATCCCCCATCAGCCTGAGCCTGGCATCATCTCAACAGCTCAGAGCACCCAGCCTGAAGCCCCTTCCTTCCCTCTCTGCTGCTGAACACACCCAGGCATCATTCTAGAAAGAGAGGCACCAGTGCCGAGAAGAGTAACCACTTGCTCTGTGTGGACAGAGCAGGGGACACAATCGGAAACCAGAATGGGGAACACATGGCACTTGGGATCACGCCCCCCCCTTCCCACTTGGAAATAACTGTAATAGCAAATAGAGTCCGAATCCTCCCTACCCTGTGGCCACAGGTGACCTCCATTATCTCAGCTAATCCATCCTCAGAACCTGGGACTTCCCTGGCAGTCCAGTGGTTAAGACTCAGCACTTCCACTGCAGCGGGTGAAGGTTAGATCCCCAGTCAGGGAACTAAGATCCCACATGCCGTGTGTCATGGTCAAAAAAAAATCTTCACAACCCACTGGGCTTAGTTTTACCATCGTCAGTTTACAGATGAAAAGAAGGCTGAGAAACTTGCCCAAAGTTTCTCACACAGCGAGCCAAGTCGGGGTGAGCTGCGGCAGAGAAGCCGTGTTGGAGGTGCAGGAGGGGGAGGAAAATGTGGCCTTGATCCCGGGCTGGGTGCCTCTCTGTCCCACTGCAGGGAGGAAGGAGATCATGAGCGACACGAAGAGCATCTCCGTGAAGGCTGCCCGGCGCCGCTCTCAGGCTGTGGGGGCCGAGGGGCGCCAGCTGCTCGCACCCACCATGAAGCACAGCAGCCTGTCTCTGCACTCGCTGGGCGAGACTGATGACGTGCAGCCGCCTGGACCACAGGCCTGCAAGCGGCCGCCCAGCCCCACCCTCCAGCACGCTGCCAGCGAGGACAGCCTGTCCAGCAGCACGGGCGAGGCGCCATCCCAGGCAGTCGAACGTCATGGCGATGGCCCCTGTCCCGCGCTGCAAGCCCAGAAGAAAAGCCTAAGCAAGAAACGAGAGGAGTCTCTGGAGGCAAAGAGGAAGCGGAAGTCCCAGTCTTTTGAAGTCACGGGACAAGGGGTAAACCTAGGGGGACAGGAGCTGGGGGTGTATGGGCCCCCTCCTTGCTGGGTTCTGAAGGCTAGATTCCTCCAGAGGCCCCATGGTACCCCTAGCTCTGCACCACCCTCCATGGCGTGTCCCCCAAGTGAACCTAATATCTCCTTGTATCAGATCCCCACGCAGCTCCCAGCTCATCTGGCTCTCCAGCCAACGCAGCTGTCCCGCCCCAAGACGCACATCGCTGGGCCCCGTCCCATGGAGAGTAACATCTCAGACCAGAGGATGCCAGTGGTTGGGCACCTAACCCCTAGCATCCGGCACCTGGGAAAGGCCACGCTGCCTATGGCCAACGTCAAACTCCCTCCGTGCCAGAACTTGGGTGAGTACCAGCAAGTGTGTCGGGGGTGGGGAATAGCAAGGGGGAGAGGGGAGCCCTGGCCAGGCCAGGGAGGAGGCTGGTTGAGCTCCCTGCCTCTGTGGCTGCCCCTTGCTGGAAACTGGGTTCCTGAAGACTGTTAGTGGGACTGGCTTCTTAGGGTGGTGCCCCTAGGGAGTTCAGAGCCACTGTGGGTGACAAGAGGGGCATGGAGAGGCATGCCTTAAAGCACAGCTCCTGGCCCTTCCCCACCGCAGGCCCTGAGGACCTCTCCCCCGTTGCTGCCCCCTCCAACCCAGCGGATGTTCCTGGACGGGTTACTCGGGTGCCTCGCCTGCCCCATGGCACAAGCACCCAAAGCAAAGATGGACGCTTGCGGCACAACTGAGGGGCCCTGCCTGCCCACCAAGGCTTGATGGGGCGTGGCAGGAAAGGGAGATGGAGGCTGGGCAGATGGGGATGAGCTGGCATCAGAAGTTTGGGATCTCAGAAGATTGGGGCCCCTGGGGCCCAGGAATCGTGGGGGTGCCTGCCCCCGACACTTCCATGCCTTCAGTGCCACTGGGAAGGGGAGCTGAGCCCAGGAGGCATGGCCTGGATGGCAGCGCTCCCTGGCCAGAGACTCCTGTTGCCGAAACTCTGTTCTAAGATCTGCAAACAGACTTGGCCTGAGGAATGGGGGGCGGGGGTGAAGCAGGGAGGGACTGTTAGAGGGATAGGGCTCCTGGGCCCACATCTGGGGCAAGGGCAAACTGTATGGTTGGGGAAGGGCCCGATGGGCATTTCACTTACTGTGGCTAGGGGGTGGGAAGGAATCTAGTTTTGTTACTTAGCAGTCGCTTCCACCTTCCCCCGTCCCCCCACTCTTTTTTAACAATAAAAATCCCATTTGAGTTTTGTGGGTTGTTCCGGAAACTAGACCTTGTCTGAAAGGTGGGGTGGTCCTGACAGACTGGCTTCCCTTCCCGGGTGGTGCTCATGGTAAAGAACCTGCCTGCAATGCAGGAGATGCAAGAGATGTGGGTTCGATCCCTGGGTCAGGAAGATCCCCTGGAGGAATAAATGGCAACCCACTCCAGGATTCTTGCCTGAAGAATCCCGTGGGTAAAGGACTGGCGGGCTGTAGTCCATGGGGCCGCAAAGAGCCAGACACGACTGAGCGACTGAGCACATCCCTGATTAAGATTCAACCCAAGTCCTCTCCTCCCAACACACCCTCTTCCTCTCCGGCTGGTTGTAGAGCACCCGTCGACAAATTCCTGGGGGAAAGTGATTTTCCTCCAGACCCTGAGGTCTCTCCCCAGGAAGGGCAGGGCTCTAAGGCCCATTCATGTCCTCTCCCACCAGTACACACCTCTGCCCCTCCCAGGAGAGGTCAGAGACTTAGGCTTGTTCTTACCCCTCCCACCCCAGGAAGTCAGGGCTCAGAAATTGCTGAGCTGAGCCCCTCAGTTTCAGGTGAGGAAGCTCCCCAAGGTGTACCTGACCATCTCAATGCTTTTACCTGCCCTGCCCCCTGTGGGGATGGGGGCCCTTGGGGAAAAGCTAATGAATGATGGGGAGTCCCTGACCTGTCGAGCCCTCCTTGGACTGCTTTTACCCCCAAAACTGTGTGGTTTAATCATCCCCTTGCCCTCAGAGCACTGGTGTATTCTACACCAAGAGCATTGGCTTCCCATGTGGTGCTGGTGATAAAGAATCCACTTGCTAATGCAGGAGATGCAAGAGACATGGGTTCGATTCCTGGGTTGGGAAGATCCCCTGCAGGAGGAAATGGCATCCCCCTCCAGTATTCTTGCCTGAAAAATTCCATGGGCAGAGGAGCCTGCTGGGCTACAGTCCATGAGATGGCAAAGAGTGGAATGTAACTGAGCATATATACACACAATACCAAGAACCTCACTTTCAAGTCAATGTGAAAGCAGCTCCTGAAACCAGGCATCTGGTCTACCACCCATCACCTGGCTTCCACCCAACTCTAAGGCCGCCAGCACCTGGTCACCCAGCAGGCCGGGTTAGACACCTCCACTGGTCATGCCACTCCCAGTCCCTCTGCGCCATCTCTACTGGGCCTTTATTTTCCTGATCCAGAGGCGTCAGGGATGCTGAGCTCCCTGCCCCGGCCCGCTTGGCTACTTGGGGGTCCGGATGAGGGTGTGATAGACGGGCTTGACAATGAGGTGGAGATGCAGGGCATTCTCCACCAGGTACTCGGAGTTGCGCCGCTGCAGGTCGGCATGCGCCAGGAAGTCGCCGGCCTCCTCGCTGCTCTGGTGGAAGCTGTAGGCGTGGCGGACCAGCAGGCGGCCGTGGTGGCGCGCCCCCACCAGCACGGTTTTCTGGAAGCTCACGCCTGCCGCGTCGCCGCCGCTGCTGGCCGGTGTGACCACCAGCCGCGGCCGGCCGTCCTCGGGGCGTGCGAGGGGCAGCGCAGTGCCCGCGGCGTCCGCGTAGACGGGCCGCAGGCTGACCGGCAGCCAGCGCGGCGAGAAGAGCACGTTCCAGGTGACCCGGCGGCCCGAGTCGTGGCCGCTCGGGCCCAGCTGCGTCTGGAAGCTGGTACTGCGGTCGTCGCGGGCCGGGTTGTTGATGACCCATGGGGCGCCCCAGGCGGGCGCGAGGTAGTTGCGGGGCAGGAAGGCGCTGCCGTTGACGTCGAAGAACTTGGCGTAGTGCAGCGGCGAGGCGGCGTGGAACTGGTAGGCCTGCAGCAGCAGGTCGGCCACCGCCGGGCCGTGGCGCGCCAGGGCAGCCGAACGCGCCTGCAGCTGGAACAGCTGCGCCGGAGGGATCATGGGGTAGCGGATGGCGCGCAGCGCGCGCTCCGCCACGGCCGGCGGCGGCCGCGCGCGGCCCAGCCACGCCTCCAGCGCCTGGAACAGCTCCAGCTCGTCCTGCAGCACGAGGTCCGAGCGCGGCAGCAGCTGCGCCAGCAGCTCAGGGCTCACGGCGCCCCACTCGGCACTCCCCGCCACGGCCGACAGGTTCCAGGCCAGGAACTGCAGGCAGCTCTGGCGCAGGGCCTCGTCTCCAGTGCTCACCGCGTAGTGGTACCAGCCCACCGCCGGGCCCGCGCCGCCCGCCAGGTGCGCGCGCATGTAGTCGGCCACGCCCCGCTGCAAGGAGGCCACGCGGTACTTGGTGGCCAGCTGGTGCAGGGGGATGGCCTGTGCCAGCAGCACGGTCAGCTCGCCGCAGTAGAGGTACCTGCCGGAGAGGTGCAGAGATGGAGCGCTGTCAGGGCGGGCCCACTGTTACCCTACCCCGCGCCGCCTCCTGAGTCCCGAGGGTACCCGGCCTTGGGCAGGCAGCATCGTCCTTAATGGAGCCAACAGAAGGACCTTCCCGCGCGCATCCTACTTCACCGCCTCTTCTTTCTGGTTTCTTGTGGGGTGTGGAAATAAGCATGCATTTATTGAGCACAGGTAGCTCGGTGGTGAAGCATCCTCCTGCCAATGCAGGAGACGCAGGTTCTGTCCCTGGGTCAGGAAGATCCCCCGGAGGAGGAAATGGCAACCCCCTCCAGTATTCTTGCCTGGGAAATCCCGTGGACACATGAGCCTGGTGGGCGACAGTCCATGGGGTCGCAGAGTCGACAGGACTTAGCTGACTGGGCACCCACTAAGGGTCTGAGTTCTGTGCTAGAACAAGAAAGATGCAGCTCCTACCTTTGCAGGTTTACAGTGTGGGTTCGGATTCATGTTCTGCCAGTTACTTGCTGTGAGAGTGGGCAAGCCATTTAACTTCGCTGTTTGCCTCTGGAAACAAAAGATGTTTCCCAGGATCCCTTATAGTGAGTGTGGTCATGTGACTAAATTCTAGCCAATGAGATATCTGCAAAGGCACGGACTGGGATTGGGGGAAGGCTGGTTAAATAGAACTGACTAGGGTAGAGGTTATTGTTGTTCAGTGTCTCTGTCCTGTCTGGCTCTTTGCGACCCCATAGACTGCAGCACGCCAGGCTTCCCTGTCCTTCATCATCTCCTGGAGCTTGTTCAAGCTCTTATCCATTGAGTCAGTGATGCCATTCAACTATCTCATCCTCTGTCGTCCCCTTCTCCTCCTGCCTTCAGTCCTTCCCAGTTAGGGGGTAGAGGAAAGATGCTTTTGTCCTTCTGTGCTATCCCTCTTCCTGTTGCCTGGAAGTTGGAAGAAATGACCGATATTCTGCAGCCTCTTGTCTAAGCTATTAAAGCAGGGTCACTTTCTCAGACTAGAGTGTGGACAGTGTACCTGTGCAGCACGCTAGCAGGAAGCAACCCCCTAGCCCTGTGGTTCAAAACCTGGACAGACAGCAGAACCACACAGAGACATTAAAATACGAAACAACAGTTCGGCCCAGCCCTAGATACGAAGCTCAGGATACAGGGTGGGGTTCAGAAGTCTATAGTTTTTAAAAGCTCTCAAGGCCAGGTTTGGAAACAGCTTTGAGAGTATTTGGTAACTAACTTTAAACCACTCAGAGCTTTCAGGAAGGGGAGTCATGCTGCATTTTGCAAGAAGCTGGTGGGAGGAGGGAAGAGGGGGGTGGTTGCGTGATCATCCTAATGCCATCCAGGGAAGGGGCAGGGCTAAGAGCCAGGGTTCCGTCACCCTGTGAGTGGAGAAGCCAGGGACGTGGAAAGGGATGACATATTCCCCTCATCCTTCCCCACCTGATAAACTTGTCGAAGACGGCAGCACAGTCCCGGGGCTCCTGCAGCACCACCTCGCTCTGGTTACTCAGCAGCTCCCGGAACTGCTCACTGTGCAGTCCCAGCAGCAGGCGGTGGGCGTGGAAAACTCGGACCTCGTCGGTGCCCACAGCCTGCACCCGCAGCACCACATCGCTGGCATTCCCCTGCCGCAGCAGTTCCTGCAGGCGCTGGAGCAGCATCTGGGAGTGGTTGATGGAGGTGCCCGCTGACTCCCCGCCGACATCAGCTTTCTGGGCTGCAGCCGGAAGGAACACAGAGCAGCCTGAGAGGGCAGCCTTCTGGGGTTGCAGACAGACCAGCTGGAGATGCCTGTGGTTGGATGTGGGGAAGCCTGGGGAGGCTGTGTGCTCCCCTGTTTGTGCCTGAAATGCGTGGGTGCATGTGTGCACAGGAGCACATCCTGGACAGGGAAATTCGTGAACCTGACCCTGAGCAGACCCAGAGAAGATGCTCTTAGAAGGGGCGGGGGGGGGGGGTGCGGATTCCTGGGAGGGAGAGGTCATGAATCAGGATGGGACAAAATGTCCAGAGCTGGACTTCCCCGGTGGTAAAAATCCTGCCTGCCCATGCAGGAGACACAGGTTTGATCCCTGACCTGGGAAGACACCATGTGCCACAGAGCAACTCAGCCTGTGCTCCACAACTATTGAGTCTGTGCTCCAGAGCTGGGGAGCTGAAACTACTGAGCCCG